AGCTTGTCGACTACCTGGTTGGGGTCCGCGAGATGATAATAATCGATGGTTAGAGACCTTGAATGACATGGCTCAAAATCGTTCGCAATGGCGCCAGTGCATTTATTCTCTGTGTTCTCTCAAATCCTAATCTTCTGGATTCTTCAACCCCTCTAGTTTCGACTCTCTAAACTTTTCTCACTGAATCATACTTCTTGAGTAGTATCTTCTAATCCTAACCTCTCCGATTATTTCTAATTCCCTTACTACCTCTTCTACTATTGGATTTGAATTGACGATTACTTCTCTGTGCTGATGTGGTATGGCAACATGAACTGATGTACTTAGGTACAAAGTTCTACGTTGCATCTGACTGACTGACTGACCATATAATGGAACTATCTTGACACTTCTATTGAAAATTCTAACTTTGGTTTCGTTTGATAGTTGTTTTGAATTGCAGATGTTCTACGATAGCATAAACGTTGCTCTTGCTTTATCGTTCCGTGTCTTTACATTTGCAGACCCATCTTGTTTATCATTAATGCTGTCTAGGCACTTAAAGATCTCCACATCTTCCAAAGTATCTCCTTCATTTGTGTTTTGGTTGGTGTATGTTGTGTTGTAATGGAGGATCTTGTTTTTTCCCTTTTGTATGTCAAGGCCTACTGCTGCAATGGCCATCTCCTGTATTTGTCGTTGTCTGTGGAGTATAAAGGCTAGATTATATGCTACTTAGAACGAATCTCTAACACCCAATTCTAAATATTTCAAACTGGACTGTTATGTTATAATAGGTACAGACTACCTGGTTAAAGTTTGCGAAACAATCGCAACATGTAGTTTAGAAACTTTGAATGACATAGCTGAAAATTGTTTGTATTGGTGCCGGTGCATCCATATTCTTTGTCTTCTCTCAAATTCTAATCTTCCAAATTCCTCATAACTTTGGGTTATTTTTAGATTTATTCATTGGATTATACTTCTTCAATGGTATTATCAAAACCGAATCTTCTCCATTACCACTAATAAATACTTCTACTACTACTAGTTCACTCCGTCTTACTTTATGGCTGTGAAACATGGCCAGTGAGAGTAGTAGATATTCGTAGGTTACTGGTTTTCGATTATAGATGTCTTCGACGCATTGCTCGTATGCCGTGGGACACCCGAGTGAGCAACGCTGTTATTAGTAACCGGTGCTAGGTAACAATGGCAGATCAATCGATGAAGTATTGAAACTTCATCAGTTGAGGTGGTTGGGACATGTGTTGCGTATGCCGAACCACCGACTGCCTCGACGAGCTTTGTTTTGTAGTGTAGGAGTAGGTTGGAAGAAAGTTACTGACATGAAATCATTGACGAGTGGACTGAGCCATGTCGGTAATTGTCGACTACCTGGTTGGGGTCCGCGAGATGATAATAATCGATGGTTAGAGACCTTGAATGACATGGCTCAAAACTGTTTGCAATGGCGCCGGTGCATTTATTCTTTGTGTTCTCTCAAATCCTAATCTTCTGGATTCTTCAACACCTCTAGTTTTGACTTTCTAAACTTTTCTCATTTAATCATACTTCTTGAATAATATCTTGTAATCCTAACCTCTCCGTTTACTTCTACTACCTTTACTACCTCTTCTACTATTGGATTTGAATTGACAATTATATTTCTGTGCTGATGTGGTATGGCGACATGAACTGATGTACTTACGTACGAAGTTCTACGTTGCAACTGACTGAATGACTACTATGGGATTTAAATTGACAATTCAGTCTCTCTGTGCTCCTAATGTGGTATGGGCGACTTAAACTGACATATATATATATATATATATATATATATATATATATATATATATATATATATACCAAGTTCTATGTTGTCGCTAACTGAAACATTTCATTGACAGTAACCTGGTGTTTGTTGTTTATGCTTCAAAAATGTCACATGAATAACATCAATTGTTTTATTTCGCTCTACTGACTTCCTTAATTGTTTTCATTCATTGACTTACTTTTCTTTGCTGAGTACGTTTCACTCAACACACACTAACTAGCATTGTTTTTCATTACTCAAAGTTGCATTAAATGTGGACAATTCTTTGAAAAAACAGAGGTCAACTAAAGATTTTTTTCGAGATTATTAATAATTAGAACAACGTTCATATAACTGTTTCAAATACTTGATTTCAATTTGAGTTAACTAGAGATATATATTCTTAGGTTAATTGTTACTGCGGATATCAAAAGGCGCATTAGCCTCGTGATTTCCGAAGAGCTCCGATATGCTCGATATGCGGCGTTTATAACTCTACGTAATAAAGACATCCCTAACTCTCAGTGTGGTGGATACCACTCACAAGGTTCAGCGTAGCATCGCCTAGAAGTTGCTACCCGAGAGAAGAATGTCTAGAGATCAAAGTGCCTGCTATGATCGGTGTATTTTGAAGAGCAGAAGAGTTACGAGAGAGGACAATCAACATCTTGTTTGGATTACGAATCGATCAGTGTATATAGTCTGTATAAATTTTGCATCATCTGACTTTTTCAGGAGTAGACCTTCTACTAGGAGCTCCGCTTGTTGACTCAGAATATACCGATGATATAGTTGTACTTGGTGAAGACGCTGACAAAATGCAGTCTTCTGACTTCCCGGATTAACAATGCAATCATGTTCGGGATGCGGTTTTCCCTTTCGAAATCCAAGATTTCGCTTCAAGATTGGGTTGAATCGGTACCTGAACTAGTGATAGGGGGTAAGGTATTTGAATGTCTCCAACGCCCCACTTAATCTGCTAGTCTCATCTCAGTGCTGATGACCTGGTGTGTGTACGTTGTTGCTGACTGACTGATTGATTGATATATTTTGTAAATCAACTTTGTCTTCTTCAAATTTATATATATTTCTTCTAGTCTCTGGAAGTCTTCGTACTTTACACACCAAAATAGAGTTTGGTGTATTTTTAGCAAGTTTGTTTCTGATATATACGAGGATTGCTTGCTGACTTCATTCATGTCAAACTTTCCTGCTTTGAATCGACCGTAACTTGAGAAGTTCGCAGGGCAATACAAACATGTTCATGTAATCAAAATGTTGTTTCCATCCCTTAGTTACTTTTACTACGTCCCAGTTCTCTCAATAATTAAGGTTTTTTTTACTTCAAACTTGTTGAACGTCTTTTCCTCCTCCTCCTTCATCTCTATCTAGCGTGTTGCTCAAAACTGGGTGAATCGTGCTTGTGAAAATAGTCAAATTGACGGGTTAGATGAAGCGAATTTTCGAGTAAGTAAATGCTATCCCATTTTTTTTGCCTACAAAGATCAACATTTTATACATTGAATCAATTAAGTAAACATAAATATTTGAATCGTTTTTTTGGTTATCAGTTACAACGATTCAATTCAGAGTAAAAGTGATATAACATTGTTGTAGTATAAAATACTACAATTCTTTTCTGTGCATAAATTTTCTGATTTGCCTCAACTTACTTACTTACTTACTTACTTACTTACTTACTTACTTACTTACTTACTTACTTACTTACTTACTTACTTACTTACTTACTTACTTACTTACTTACTTACTTACTTACTTACTTACTTACTTACTTACTTACTTACTTACTTACTTACTTACTTACTTACTTACTTACTTACTTACTTACTTACTTACTTACTTACTTACTTACTTACTTACTTACTTACTTACTTACTTACTTACTTACTTACTTACTTACTTACTTACTTACTTACTTACTTACTTACTTACTTACTTACTTACTTACTTACTTACTTACTTACTTACTTACTTACTTACTTACTTACTTACTTACTTACTTACTTACTTACTTACTTACTTACTTACTTACTTACTTACTTACTTACTTACTTACTTACTTACTTACTTACTTACTTACTTACTTACTTACTTACTTACTTACTTACTTACTTACTTACTTACTTACTTACTTACTTACTTACTTACTTACTTACTTACTTACTTACTTACTTACTTACTTACTTACTTACTTACTTACTTACTTACTTACTTACTTACTTACTTACTTACTTACTTACTTACTTACTTACTTACTTACTTACTTACTTACTTACTTACTTACTTACTTACTTACTTACTTACTTACTTACTTACTTACTTACTTACTTACTTACTTACTTACTTACTTACTTACTTACTTACTTACTTACTTACTTACTTACTTACTTACTTACTTACTTACTTACTTACTTACTTACTTACTTACTTACTTACTTACTTACTTACTTACTTACTTACTTACTTACTTACTTACTTACTTACTTACTTACTTACTTACTTACTTACTTACTTACTTACTTACTTACTTACTTACTTACTTACTTACTTACTTACTTACTTACTTACTTACTTACTTACTTACTTACTTACTTACTTACTTACTTACTTACTTACTTACTTACTTACTTACTTACTTACTTACTTACTTACTTACTTACTTACTTACTTACTTACTTACTTACTTACTTACTTACTTACTTACTTACTTACTTACTTACTTACTTACTTACTTACTTACTTACTTACTTACTTACTTACTTACTTACTTACTTACTTACTTACCGATCGTTTTTATTTTCTGATTGATGTTTACGATTCCACTTGATCAGTCTCTTTTTTAGCATATATGCATCTTGTACGAATTGCCTTATAGATAGATTAAAAGCATTTTGAACACTGATGAATAATGGCTATCAGTGGACTGCAGTACGGGCCTTTCGTCTTATTTGAATCTCCTATTTTCAACTTGGTGTACCTCTGCCCCACATGTCAGAGTTCATGTTCACTCCGAGACTCAAACCCATTACCGTTCGTTTAGCTAATATCTCTTTAAGATCAAAGAATGTAATAACTGTCAGGTAGTAAGTATGTAAAGTATACTAGTATGTCTAGACTACATGATCACTTTTTTCTCTCTAAAAATCATAATCCAGTCTAGATATCTTCAGTAGATGTGTTAGATTTCTACCGTTCTCTGATTCCTTCTCCTTAGTCTAAATAAAGTATGTACTATATTAGATAGTAGTTGAAGTGTGTGTATTTGAATAATCCTGTTTTCTTCAAAATCTCAAATGTATTATAGATTCTATCTGCTATCGAATCTGTAACGCAAATACATACTCGTAGAAGACGTGGAACCGACAGTAACGATGAGAACAATGAACGGGATGTTGATGATGATGATGACGATGATGATAACGATAACGATAACGATTTGGAATCAGACAGTAGCAGCAGTAGTAGTAATAATAGCACTAATTCTAGTCAACCAAATCGTTCACGCAATGGTATTGATATTGTTCGATCTGTACTTATGCTTGGACGACGTAGAGGTATCAATGGAGCTGAACAGAGAAGTGAAGAAACTCTCGCATCAAGAGATCGTGCCGAAGGTCCCAATGAACATAGCAGTTCAGATGAATGTGGTATTTCATCGAGAATATCTAGTTTTCTTGCTAAAGAACTCCGTTACCCTCATGATAGTTCTTCAGATTCAGAAACCTCTACTACTACTACTACTACGTCTACTTCCTCCTCTTCATCATCAACGTCATCTTCGTCTTCTCCTTCACACTCTTCATCGTCTTCATCGTCCTCGACATCATCACCGTCATAATGAAACACACAGTGAGAATACCTCTACACATTCATGAATTTGTTGTTCTGTTTTTAATTCTTTCTTGCAGTTTTACAATTCTCTCTCTCTCTCTTTGTGTAAATTGTAGTTTATTATTATTATTAGTTACGCTTATTATTATTATTCTTAATTGTAAAGCATTTTTAATGTATTCAGTTCATTGCTTTTTTTCCCCCTTTTTTTGCCCTCTTTCACAACTTCATCCATATTTTTCTTGTTTGTTTTGCGAAATCCTAGTGTTTCTTTTTTTTGTAATTGCGGACGAACGTACGCACACACACACTCGCACACACACACACAGAGTTGTTTGTTTTTCCTTATTCTTCGTCTTCTTCCTTTTTATACTACTATTCCTACTACTCACTAAATCAGTAGTAGTGTTATCATGAACTAAAGTAAACTTAATTTTCACCAGGTGCGTGTGTGTGTCTGTGTCTGTACGTGTATCACATTTTGTAAATTATAATCTTTCCTGAACTAAAAACACAACAATAACCAGTGAAATTTACTTGATTTTATGTTGATTTACCTTAATTTATTGTGTACATTTTGTTGGTGATTAAGTAATCACTATTATCATACTGTTTTGTGAATTTGAGTAGTATATATATATATATATACCTACCAATCTACCTAACTATATGTGTAAACATATAATATATCTATCCATATATCTATTCAATGACTTTAATAAATAAAATTCTGTGATTAGTATGACATTGTTAATTTCGTACTATTTATCTATCAATCTGTCTGTCTGTCGATCTATCATCCTGTCTATCCAGTTTCCGTCTGTCTATCTTTCTTTCTGTCCGTCTACCGTTTCATGTTTGTAAGTAAATTGACGACATTATTGTGTATAGTGAATGGTATCGTTCAGAAAACTAACAATATCTTTCGGTAGTTAGTTATGTTTCATTTAGGCGTATTACTATTTGTATTTGAGTAAGCTTTTGTAAATAATAGAACATGTAGACAGTAGGTTGCATTATGTGACATGAAGTCGATGACTGTTTAGTTGGAGTCATGTTGTTGGTAGACGCCAACTGCCAGATTAGGGAGATGTTGTATAATATGAGTACTAAAATTATTTTTTCTCTTACTGAAATCGTAATCTGAATGTCTTTTTTCTATCAATGATACCGAGATAGCCAGCCAATCATAAGTGGCTGAAGCGTCAAGGTCATTTGATGACCTAAGAAACGAATGCATATCATTGGTCGAGAAAAAGACTCGTTTTCTAAGAGGGTGAAGTGTATGTATATGTCAGATACCACGTGGTTTATAACAAGTTAACTTTTTAATAGTTAATATTTCATCGATGAACTTCGAAATTTCACTGAAATTATCAATGATCAATTGATTTTCAGTTGTTTCATAGTTAGTTTGTACCATGTAGTATGTATTACGTGTTACGTGTGTTTTTTATTGAATACAATCAATTTGATAGCTGCTGCTAGTCTTCGAAACAAACAAGAATGTTACAACAAAGTTGACTTTGAAAATTCTTTTCTATGATTGCAAATTGTTATGCGTTAAAACTTTCGCTCAATGTACAAACTGAATTGGATGCATTACAGTCAGTCAGTCAGTTGCAATGTAGAACTTCGTACGTAAGTACATCAGTTCATGTCGCCATACCACATCAGCACAGAGATGTAATCGTCAATTCAAATCCAATAGTAGAAGAGGTAGTAAAGGTATTAGAAGTAATCGGAGAGGTTAGGATTAGAAGATATTATTCAAGAAGTATGATTCAGTGAGAAAAGGTTAGAAAGTCAAAACTAGAGGGGTTGAAGAATCCAGAAGATTAGGATTTGAGAGAACACAAAGAGTGGATGCACCTGCGCCATTGCGAACGATTTTGAGCCATGTCATTCAAGGTCTCTAACCATCGATTATTATCATCTCGCGGACCCCAACCAGGTAGTCGACAATTACCAACATGGCTCAGTCCACTAGTCAATGACTTCATGGATTTCTGCCATGTTTTGGTCTGGCCGCCCCTAACTTTCTTCCAACCCATTCCTACACTACAAAACAAAGCTCGCATTTCACTTGAAAGTCATAATAATAATCATTTTAAAATAAACGATAAGCTCCTAATTGATGTCGCTTAAACAAGATTTGTTGGTAATTAAACAGATATAATGGTCGAGGGAACATTTGAATGCATTTTAGATGAACGATTTTTATCATACGAATGGCATAAATTCTTTAGCTAACTGTGTTTGTACGCGACTGTGGTACTGAGAAGTTCAATATGGTTATATTCCGATGAATTTATCGCATACCTTCGTATATACAAATAAGCATAAGAATGTAAAGCGTCAAAGTGAAGCAATGCATCATGTTTAGTGAAAAAGTATCAGTGTTTGGTATGGTATTAATTAATTCCTGTTGGAGCCCTTCTAGAATTACTGCCGGTCCCAAACTTGAATGAGGCGGGGGAGAATGGTTAGCGATCCCATCCCAAGAACAAATAGTTGATTTTGAGTACTGTCAATTATTGTAAAAATTAGGTTTAAAGGTAGATGGTAAATATATCCATGAAGTAAAAATATTACTTTGCATTAGAGTTCAGGCTGATGATCTTGTCAAGAACAATAAATCAATCAACAGCAACGTAGAACTTCGTACATCAGTAGTGTCCAAGTTGCCATACCACATTAGCAATTGTCACTTCAAATCCCATGGTAGTAGAGGTAGTAAAGGTATTAGCAGTAATTGGAGAGATTAAGGTCCGAAGATATTATTCAAGACCCGACCGAAGCTGCTACCTTGACGTGGTGGTCGGGCTTGCCTATCGTGATGACCCAACCGAGTTATATTGGGTGTAACCTATGTTCCTGAAGGTTCTACCATGCCAAACAGGTCGATTGGAGAACGATGAGATTAAAAGCATCTACCCAATGTCTGAGGGCGAAGTCGTACTGCTGACTGACTATCGTTGGGTGTGACGGCAGTATGGTGTTTCCCTCGGACAACCAGCATCTGCAACGATGCTGTCTTCTCACAAGGAAGAGAGGAAGGGTTAGAAAAGGTCGGCCCTAAATTTGTCACACCTCCCCTACCTCACGGATTTCCGTCTCCTTGGGTAAAGGTGCCCACTAAGGGCTTTTAAGAGCGGAGCTAACACTCAAAAAACCCTTCATAAAAAGGTCGTGCGTGACCGGCCTCAAGCAGTTGTCCCTTGGGCTCTGCGTTTACGCACTCAGGTCTCCAAGACCAATACTAATCTATCTTCCTTTTCAGGTCCCTCAAGAAACACCCTGCCACAGTGTGGGCAGCCGGGAAGTGATAACCGCTCTCATACTCGTAACAGCACGAGAGACCAAATTAGTCAAAATCAAATCCTGACTCTATATTATTCAAGAAGTAGAATCTAGTGAAATAGACTTAAAACGATAAAGATGAATTGATGAGGAATTCAGACCCTTCGGGGCTACTGCAGATCCCAAGCCCCGGATAAAGGAGAAGGGTTTGGATTGGTGGGGTTGGCTAACCGATCGCAGAAAAAACTAGCTTGCCAAAAAAAAACGCTAACAAGAAAAAATAATTTAAACTCCGCTGTTGGAACTAGAAGGTCTTCATTTAGAAGAGTTATGACGTCGTCTCATGAGGAAAGCCAAGTTCCTTCGGAAGTCATGAGGTCGATCGATTTCCATCCTGACCACCAGAATTCTTCCACAGTGTTTGGGCAGCTGGCAAGTTACATCCGCCCTCATACCCATAAAAGTACCCGAGACCAAATTAGTCACATTCAAATCTTTTATCCAGAACACGTAATATGCTAGATAGTGTTAATGTAATGTAATATTTCGAGAAGTTAGCTATTTGAATATACAATAAATTTTTTTTTTCATCTTGGTGATTATCTAATGCTGATTCGAACATAAAACAGGTTAATTTTGTTTGTCGTTTGATGATTTTCCATTCGACTGATTACCTTGTTGTGTGGAGGACGCTGAAAATAAGTTGAGTCTACAGAGTTTGTCTTAGCTTTCGAAAAAAAAAACTAGTTAACTTTTGATAGAACAATGAGAAAACGTAATCTGATCTCAAAAAATATTGTGATGCTTTTATGCGCACTATGCCTGCCAAACAATCTGGTCACACGTATTCACTTTTCAAAGTAGATTGTTCGAAATGTATGACGCAAATATATCACGTTTTATTTTTTTCTAGATCGATTATGTCTTTGATTGTTCAGCCATAATTTATAAAAGGGACACTAAATTCTTTAAACTAACTAGCCTTTTCTGCCGAAGTCATATTATTTGCATTACGGGGTTGTGAAGATTGTTAAGTTACACAATTTTTGAAACCATGAACCGACCAATGTTAGACCACCATTAGAAACCTGGAACCACTGGATGGCCGTCCCATCCTCGTATGGGACTCCTCAGCAGTGCGCATCCACGACCCCTGCACCTCGCAGGGTTCGAACCCAGGACCTCCGGTATTGTGCGCGAACGCCCGAACCGATAGGCCACTGAGCCGGTATCTAACGATGGTAATGTCTAACTTGATCAAATTCACGGAGTTGCGCAACCTCATACACAGTCTTCGGTAGTTACTGTCTACACCCGAACAGGTTGAACTTCACTGGTCACGTCTTCCCACTAGACTTCGGAGAAGATTCCTCACGAAGCTAGTCACTAGTGAGCACAGGTAATTTTCATTACAAGGTTGTGAAGATTGTTAAGTCACACATTTTCGAAAGCATGAATCGATCAATATTAGACTACCATTAGAAACCTGCAAGCACTGGACGGCGGGGTGCAGGAGTCGTGGATGCGCACTGCTGAGGAGTCCCATACCAGGACGAAACGGCCATCGTCCAGTGCTTCCAGGTTTCTAATGGTGGTCTAACATTGATCGGTTCATGGTTTCAAAAAAGAAGTCATTATTCACACATCTTTCAACTTTGTCCGCTATTTGTTCATACATATTCTTGTTTGTTTTTACTTGAGTAC